AAACATATTCAAGCGTAGGCTACATAAATTGTACTACATTTTAATTTTTTTTTTGTCGTGAAATACTTAAAAATCAAATAAAGATTAACGAGAAACAGTACAAAATTTATTAATTAATTTATTTCCGTTATATATAATGTATATATACATACGAGTATATATATATATTTATTTTTTAAAATTTAAATACTAAATTTAGAAATCAATCATAATATTCTTAAAATGGTAACTCTACATTCATACATATTTCTTTTATTATATACTGTTATACATATATATAACATTTTAATCTATATAAGAAATAAGTATAATTCCAATTAATATTAAAATTCTTAACACATAACAGAATAATCGTATAACACTTTTAATGAATTTTTAAATTTATAAACAAGCATTTATTATATTCTAATTAATTGCAAAATTAAACAGTAGAATCTTTTCTTAAATGAAATTTTAACAAAATGAAAACTTGTATAGTTTGTTTAAACATACAAACTGCAATGAATTATGTAACTACAGCCAATGAGTGAGCTTTTGATATCAAAACAGCTGATATTGTTATTTGATTAAAGACAGAAACATACGGATTTGAGCAATTGTATGTTGTATGAGAATTTTTGGAGAAATAATTTAATTATACTATAATTCTCCAATTCATATACATATTACAATTCTCCAGTGTACTATACACAATATGGTGGCAAACTTAATACTGTTCTGTCATAAAATTTAATTTACAATTCTTACTTATATAATATGTAAGTGGGCAACTGAAAATTCTTGTCTAACTAGGCTAACATTAAATTCTGATTGTTATATAAGAATTGAAGACACGAGTGAATGAAGTTGTCATTTACAATTTTTACGAAAATGGGTTTATTGTATAAATAGAAGTTTTGAATGTTTATCTTTCATATGCAAAAACTAGTTTTTCAAAAAATGACTCAGTTTAAGAAATAGCTTATCTTCAAAAAGTGTTATATCACACTTTTGAATTATTTTGCTTTGAAAGAAGGTTAATTTAGTCGAAAACTGTACAGTTGACACCTTCATTCACTCATGTCTTCAATTCATATACAATATTATTTGTACTATTATATTTTGCTCCACTGTTTTTAATAAGTGTCTATGCTTTTTATGTGTATTTCATTAAGTTTTTATCTTAAAAATTCATAAAACTGTTTTATACCTTTTATATAATCTTAAGTAATTTAAGGAAGAAACTACTTGCTTACTTTTTTTTAATTAATCGCATAAAATATTTTAGTTTTAATAAAAAGTTTGTTGACTTAATAGTTTATTTATATAACAACATTAAAAATTCTATTTTCAATAAAAAGCAGAGTGCGAAATTTTATTAATTTTTTTCAAAAAAAATATTTTTTTAACAAAACAACTTTTTTTATTTATTTATTTATTTATTTATTTTGTTTGTTTTATAGAAATTAAACAGTTAAATTAATATTAGATCATTTCATCAGAATTTCTAAAATAGAAAAGTTGAATAGATTATGCCATTATGGCCGGTTCCCATTTTATCTTTATTCATTTTTAATAATCTTTGTTTAAAAAATGAAAAATAAGTTATAAATTATTTGCTTAATTTTCGTAAAAAAAGCAAGAATTTTGAAATTGTTTTCTTAGAACGCAATATTCTTGTACTTTTGTTATAACTGTTATATATACGATTATTCTGTTATCTGCTAAGATTTGAAGAGCATTCTTGTTCAAATTATTATAGAAAATTGAAATTTTTTTTATGCATTTTCTAGAAAATTTGGAAATTATTAAATAACAAATGTTGATATGCTGGTGGTTCTTTTAAAGCTTCAATGCCACTCCACGGAATATTTAAAATTATAAAATTAATTGTATTCTTAATTTTATTTTTTAGAATCAACCCGAGTCACAAATAAAAATTTAAATGCTTATGTATCAGACAAAATTTATTTTTATGTAAATTGGAATATTTTTTAATTTCAAATTGAAATTATTCAAATGACAACAAGGGATTAACTAAATATGAGAAGAAAAAATTAAATAATATGAAAGTCTTCACTCCAATGTAATGATAAAGGAGATTTGAGTAATATTAAAATATTTTTTTATATTAAAAATAGAAAACTTTACATATAATTATGAAATTTTTATTTACTAATGAAACTTTTCTCTGAAAATTCCTAAACTATGGATTTTAAGCAAAACTTAAATTAAAAGTAAAAGAAATTTAATGAAATCTAACATTAAGAATGCTGGATAAATCGCTTAGCCATCATTCCTAACTATATAGAACGTATTTAATTGAACTCATTCATTAATTACAAAATTTAATCATACAAAAAAAAAATTTCCATGGAATATTATTTTGCCTTTGCCCTCAAATATCCTTGGCGAAATAACTACTATCTTACAATAGTTTGCTAGACCAACAAAATGTCTATGATTCCCAAGATTAATGTTAAACGAAAAAAATAACATACATGAAAAGTTAATAAAAATTTAAAAGACAAATTTAATTCGAAATGATAAGATTATTCAAATTAATAGACCAATCAAAGTCAGGTTTTTTTTGTGCCAACACATAGCCAGACATTTTTATTAATTCAATTATTTATGCTTCTCATTTCTATATTTAAATACTATTAATTTTACATAAGTAAGATGCAAATAAAAATCACAATATTTATTATATAAAATGAGACCGCAAAAAAACGTTTCCATTCCGGCTATTAAAGAAAAAAATTGCATTTTTCCCTTTTATATTTTAATTCTGAAATACAAAAAAAAATACAATAATTTTATTTTCTTGTCTACCTTATCTATACAGATACTAATTGCATTCTAGACCTTTTAACCTTTCTTAATCCAAATAAGCACCGTATTCAGTTACGTATAGTTATAATATTACATTTACAATTTAGCGTAGTATTTCGCAAATTTATTACTCCAAGCTATCATAATACAATTGATAAAAAATAAAACGTTTGTCCTTAACTTTTAATTCCCTATATGTACGTGCACTCTACATGATTGTGGCTACAAGTTCAAAAACAATTTTTTAATCTTATTAAGTACTTATATTAAAAATATTGACATTGTGACATTAAAGCCCCATGCACATTTGTATATATATATATAAATATTTAAAATCGTTTTGTTATCCTGTGTAGTTCAACTTGGGCTCTGCAATAATAAAATTTTTCTACCGTCACTTTTCTACATTTCATGGAGTCATTAATTTTTTTTTTTGCTTTTAAGATCCAATTTATTTTATTATTCATTAAAAATAAATTTGTACCAATAAATATTATTTAATTCATTATTTAAAATACCATTTTAAATCTTAAAAAAGAAATCCTGTTCAGTAAGGACCTTGGCGCTTCAGTTTTTTTTTTGTTAAATCGATTTTAAACAGAGCAGAGCACAAAAAAAATTTTTTTTTTTTCTTTTTTGATCAGTTGCAATTTTACTGCTGTTTGTTTAATCAATTCAAAAAAAAAAGGAAAAATGCTTCAAGTTCATGCAAAGTACCGCTGTGTTTATTGTTTTTTTCCACTTTTATTATACAAGAAATTTATGAGATTTTAAAACCAAAAACCAAAAATTATTTTTATAAAATCAATGAAATTTAATAATTTTTCACTCACCGATTTCAATATTTTTCTGATTTCTTGGTTTTATACTACACTCATTTGGTCATTAATTCATTTTCAATATTGTTATACGATATATTGTAGTCAACAGAGTTTAAGGAAATGTTCAATGGATTTTTTCCCATATTTATAATGTACAAAAAGAAAAAGGTTCATAGTTCACACAATTCTAAAAAGGTGAATATTGAAATTTGTGATTGCCAAAAATTTTCTTAAAATAAACTAAAGCAGATTTTGAATCATACATTAATAATGAAATGTTAAAAATTAATTTATTAAGAAATTAATTTAAATATGCGCTGATGAATAATATTTTTAAAGAGTTTGACATTGGGAAAATTTTTGGTGACATTGGCAAATGATGAGAAAAGAGAAAATCAATGTATGAGGTAGATTTATTGTATATATTGAATTATATGTATAAATTGCAAATAACGGGGCTTTGTAAAATCAAATCTGTATACTATTAAAAATTCAAAGGGTGTCGTGTAACAATTACAACCACAGTATTTTAATTATGGAATTACACCTATAAATTTTTTTTTAATTAATTTATTTAATTTTGAAATCGAACAACTGCTTAGTACAAGCATTTAGTATAACCAGAATCGAACGTATATAGCTACTGCACATCGAATTAAAAGAAAGCGTCACCAAATTTCAGAATAAATTAAGCACAAAATCAATGCTACTGTAGAGTCTGACCTTAAGCACCGTCTTATTTATACAAGAAAACCAATGGCTTACTTATACAAGAATACACCGTATGGCCTTACCGTATGGCTCCTACTTATATTCGTATAAGAAAAGCAACAAATAGATAAGTTTATTTGACGCAACATGCTACCGTATAGCACCAACTATACGATAACAACACGTTATCGTATAGTTAGCTCATGCGTCCTATAGTCCGTATATTGTGACACAGAACATTGAAAAGGTCGATCGAAGTTACTTGAATTTTTCTGATTTTAAGTTACTCGAATTCTTCCTGTAAGAAATTTTAGCCAATAAAATCGAGGCAACCACAATACCCGTCATGTTATGTTCAATTATTCATGATATTTTTAAATTATTCAACTTGATGAAATTAAAATATTATTTCTGATTCTAAAATATCATAAAAATTTATGAGTTTCCAAAGCTACAAGTTGTATTTGGAAAATCTTTATAAGTATATAATTTGATTTTGAACCACAAAATAATAATTTATACATGTACTCGTATAACAAATTTATTCAAGAAAAATCCTTCACACTCTTTAATATTAAAATATTTTCGAATTCAATCTTAAAATATTATAGCTCATAATTTTTCAAAATTAAAATACAAAAGTGCAATTCTTACCTGTTATATTAATTAATAATATTAATAATCCAAATATATTGAATAATCCAAATAAATTTTTAATTGTTGCCATGATGATGTCCTTTTTAAATTCTTCTGTTCTTATTTTTATTGTAAAGTTCACAAATTAGAATCACAAGTGTAAATATAAAAAAGATTTAGAAATAAAACAAAAAAATTCAATGAGATTAAGATTAAATCTCTCTTTTTCCTTTCTCTATTTTTCTTTATTTTTAACACAAAAAAATCAGAAAATTTTTTTCTAAAAAAAGAAATCCTTTATTATCCCTTTTTGCTTTCAAAAAAAAAATTTTTTTTTTTTTAAAATTCAAAATTATCAAATTTAAGGAAAAATTCAAAAAAAATTTAAGGAGAAAACTTTGTTTTTTTTTATTATTTTATATTTTCATTTTTTTTCTCCAATTTCGAATTCAAAAAAAGAAAATATCCTTTTTTTTATCAAGGTATTTTTAATAGGTTTGTATTGAGTAATTTTTTCAAATATTTTTTTCAAAATTTTTCAAATTTATTTTTTTTTTTATTGTGATTACATAAAAAAAAATTATTTTCAATTGAACATTAACCTCTCACTCTCATTTATTAAAAAAAAAACCAAAAAAAAATAAAATAAAAAATTCGCAAATTCAGAGTTTTTCCTTCATTTTTTTCCTTTATGTTTTCAATATTTTCTTTTCTCTTCTTTTCTTTTTTCTCTGTTAATTTTCCTTTTCGTTCGATTTCAAATGCAAATTAAAAAAAAAAATAAATAAAAAAAATTTCTTATTAATTTATTTCTTATACTTTTTTTAACTTTATATATGCATATGTATATATATATACATATATATATATATATAATTTTAAATTTTATTTATTACTCTCTTTTCTTCTTTTAATTTAAAAAACAAAAAAAAAAACCATCAAAAAATTTCACTTTTGTTTAATTCGTGATTAATTCAATATGAAATGCATATGTACATACACACATATATGTATATATTATATATTATATGCACATATATATATATGTATATATATATATATATATATATCAAAATGTTATATATATAATATTATATTGAAATTGAAAACTTCTGTTTCCTAATAAATATTAAATTTCTTTTACAAAATAAAAAAAAAAAAACAATTAATGCAGAAATAATTTTTTTATTTTTATCCAAAAAAAAAATTTGTTTTTCAGTTTTTTTGTAATATATATATTTGTATATATAAATATCTGAACTAATATATTATTATTAAATTTAATTTAATAATAGTTATTAATTTGGATAAAAAAAATACGAAAAAAAAATAAGAGAGAAATTTTCAAATTTTAAATATTTTCATTTCTTGCAGTTCCAATCTGTTCTGTATACTCAATATTATATTTAACATACAAGTTATTATATAGTTTTATATATACAATATAATGCATATATACATATATAAATATATATATATATATGCATATATATATATATATATATATATATATATTAAAAAATATTATTGCACACACTAAAATATTCCAGATATTGTAAATGGTACAATAAATTTCGTTTTGAAATTTTATTTTTCGAAAAAAAATAACTGTTATACACTTATTGGAAAATATTGTTATTGTTTAAAATGCCAGTTAAAAAAATCTACTGTATTACTATAATTAAAATGTTAAAATTCAAATTCAAATTACAAACAAAATTTTTTAATATAAAAAAAAAAATATTTTTTTATTACTGTTAATCTGTTATACGAAAATATTTTTGATTTCTATATGCAAAAAAAAAAAATTTCGGATTAAAACACTAATATGCAAATGATTATTGGAAATTTTTTTTAGTGTATCCTTTTTGAATTTTTTTTCTTTGTAGGCACTTTTCGTTTTTTGTGAAAAAATTAGGTTTAAAAAAAAATTCTTCTAAATTTTATTCGTTTACTTTTTGCTTTTCCTTGTTTTGTATAATTTTTAATAATATTTCTTATTTTCTTCTTCTTGTTTTCCTTTTTTATTCTTTAATATTTTTTATTTGTGCTCTAATCCGTGTGCAAGTGCTTAACGGACAAGCACTTTTCTTTAACTGAATTTAAAAATTGCAAAAATCTTTTTTGATCGTGTCTATTAGAGTGTGTGGTTTATTGTCTCACTCAAAAAAATTTTTTTATTTTTTGCCTATTTTTTGTTATTTTGCCTCTTATTTTTTTTTTTTTTTCATTTCATTTAAATATTTCTTTCAACTCAAAATACTTATATGCTTAAGTGTAATTTTAATATTTCTTTAAAACAAAAAAAAAATCAAAGAAAAAAATGCTCTAAAGCACGATCCAAAAGCTAAGAATTAAACGTAAATAAAAATGTGTGTGCATATGTATGTATGTAGGTATAAAACAGAAACATGTTGATCACCAGTTACCAGTTAGTTTGCCACTTTACCAGTTATTTCTCTTTATATGTACATACTTATATTTTCTTTTGAGTGCAGACAACTTTAAGTTGAAAAGTTGTTATAAAAAAGTTATGTTTTTTTTTGTAGTTATGTTGTGTGTGTGTGTATTTAAAAAATCAAACACATATTGTAAAAACATAATGGTAAATAATGGTATCAATAACGATAAGAAAGAATAACATAAAAGCTTTTCTTGTATATTTGTTTTGCAAATTTTTTTTTTTTTTATTTCTTTTATTTTTAAATCATAATTTTTAAACCATAAAAGTAATTAAAACAAAAACTAAAAAAATAAATAAAAAATTTTTTTTGCAATGCTTATAAGCTTTTGAAAGCTTTCGAGAATGACATGTGTTAAATTTAAGGCTCTCTTCTCTGAAATACAAAGAGAGAGAGAGAAAGAGAGATACTAGAATTGATAAAGAGATAATGAGATTTTTTGATTTTGGTTTTCGTTCGATAAATAAGAGAAGAAAAATCAAAATTTTTGAGAAAAATTTTTTAATATATTTTTTATTAAACAAAATAAATTATATACAGAAATTTTATTATTTTATATTTAAAACTGCTAAATTAAAAAAAAATATTTTTGAATAATAATTTATTTATAATAAAATATAGGCCTACATTTCATTTAATTTTAACAAATAAAAAAAAAAAATTCCTTTTTCTCTCTCCCTCTACCTTTCTCTCGCACTCCATCCCCCTTAAATAATATTTGCTCTCAATTAAAAAAAAAATAACAAAAACAAACACAATTTTCCTTAACAAGGTCAAATTTGAAAAAATGAAAAGGTATATACATAATTATACAAATATATACATGTATATACATATAATAACAATAATTTACGGTAACAGAAATAATTATAAAAGCTACCAGCTTGCATTTTTATGTTTCACATACATATACATACGTACATACATATATTTTATTTTTAAATTATTACAGGTATAATCAATAATTATATTTATATATGGGCTAATAAGATAATATTAATAATGTAAGTATGCATGCAATAATATAAATAATTTATTAATTAAAAAAAAAAAGAATTACTTCGAATTTATTAAGAATGTTGTAATTTATTAAATTCACTTTCAATTCTAAAAACAATTTTTTTAAGTAAATACAAAAAAAATTATTTCAAAATGATTTTGTATTTTCGAAAATTAAGTATTGAAAGTATAAAACTAATTGTAATTTTTGTATAAAAAAATATACAAGACTCCTAATTGTGTTATATAATTATATACTCAACAATGATATTGTGTCCTTTTTAACTATATTTAAGGACCATATTCAAATTAACAATTCAAGTATTCCCCTAAAATAATATCTCCTTCAAATTTGGAAACATTTCGGATAACCCCCCTTCTAATGTTCATTATTTTATAAATTATAGATATCAAAAGAAAAACAAGCTCAATAATTTCTGAAGATTATGCTTGGGAGATAAGTGAAATAAAAACTTCGATAAGAAATCTCAAATATATTAATATTCAGGTGAAAATTCAAACTCTGCCGTAGCTATTAAAACCTCACTTATCAGTCAGCTTGAAATGTTAAAAACGGTTTCGCTGTCATAAAAGATTGGTTTATTTGTTGCGATAATATTATCATTGCAATATTTGGAGAGACATCATACCGCTAAATAGAGCATCCGCTAAATAGGTGTCGGCAATAATTATATTCATAATTTTCGACATTATTAAACGCTATGCAAAATGGAAAGCGCTAAAAAGAAAGGGGAACCTCACAGAAAAAAATTCGCATGCTCCCCTCTCCTACAAGATCAGTGACATGGCTTCTCTCTCACAAAATCAGCGACATGCAGAGCAAGTTAAAACACCTTGAACAACTATTCAGACATTTAGGATCCACTAGCAGAGCCAGTTCGTAATTCAATACCCGACAAATAGAACGCGTGCTCTCATGAACGCTTATTAGTGACTCATTTTCAAGACAATTGCGGTGCCAAACAGCCAGTGCCGGACAGTCGCAGAGAATGTGCACGGCGGTCTCACCGCCACCCCCACAAAATCTGCACAGGGGGGAGCCCGACTTCCTCAGCCTATGCAGGTGGTACTTCACTGGGCAGTGCCCCGTGAAGAAATTCGCAATAGTGCGAACCCGACTCCTGCCCATCCCCAGCAGCTCTGCGGTGAATCCACTGGAGCACGCCGAAAGAAACACCTTCCGCAGAAAGGCAGAAGACCGCAGAAAGGCAGCGGCTGCACAAAGTAAGCCCCAGATCCCCTCCGCGTCAGCTCATCGGCAATTTCGTTGCCCGCATGGCCACTATGACCCGGCACCCAAATGAGCGTGACTCTGTTCCTCGATGCCAATTCCATAAGTGCAGCAAGGCAGCCCCAGACCAGCTTGGATGTAACCTGAGCTGAACGAAGCGCCAGCAGCGCAGCCCTGCCGTCCGAGAACACATAGATGGTGCGGTTTCTATACCCCCTTTCTAAATTGATTCTCAGACAGATCTCTATTGAATGTATTTCTTCCTGGAACACCGTGCAATACGGGTCAAGGGTTGCATATACACGCGTGTCCCGGCGGACACCGTTTACACCCGAACCCACACCCGACTCCGTTTTGGACCCGTCCGCATACCACACGCTCGAACCCGACTCAAGTACCGGGCCACCCCGATCCCACGCCCATCGATAGGGAAAAAGAACCCTGTACTTGTGGTCGAAGTTGTACCGCTGCAGAAAGGCATCCGACATGGTTATTCTTAGAATCGGATCGCTCTCAATGAAGTCTCTGTGAGTCCTGTGGGCCAACTTTAGCCCTGCCCTGTCCTCGTCAGAGAGAAGTTGGTAAGTCACTAGCAGAGCTTCCTTCAATATATGGAGGTGCAGTGGCGGCAACCGTATCATCACCTCCAATGCAGCGGTACGAGCCGTCCGCATTGCCTCGGTAATTCCCAGGCAGGCCACCCTCTGCAAGGGTTGTATATAGCGGGCCTAGCAAGGGCCGTATATAGCCACAGTGCTATCCTGGGACTGATTCCCCAGGTCCCCCGGATGAAGCTCCTACACGTCCACAAGGCCGCCGTAATCCTCTCGATAACTCTATCTATATGGATATTCCAGGAAAGTGCTCTTGTTTGGATTTATATTTAACCCAACGCCTTCGCACAACCTCTTCACAACCCGTAAGTTTTGCTGTAGAAGATCAGAAATAGTGCTCTCAAATTTTCCCCGTACGACGAAGACCACATCGTCAGCGTATCCCTAGACATGTGCCCCGGAGCCTCTGAGAGCACTACAATGGACCACAGGAGGGACGAAGACCACAGGAGGGGCGAAATAACCCCGCCCTGCGGACATCCTTTTGCAGCGGAGATGAAGAGTATATCGTCAGCTATGGTGGACTAATAATCCTATCCTGTAGCATCCGATTAGCCCATCTGCTAGTCGTCGCATCAACGACTCACAGATGACATGATATGGGGTGTTGTCAAAAGCTCCCTCTATATCAAGGAAGCAGCCAACTGCCAGTGAGTTTTCAAAGACCCCCACCAGACTCTGCAGAGCAAGTACAGTAGACCTTCCCGACTAATAGGCGTACTGAGATTCATGCAAGGGATTGCTTCCCAGTTCATCATCCCGTATAAATCTATCAATCACTTTTTCCATTGCTTTCAATAGAAAAGAAGTAAGTCTGATTGGACGGAAAGACCTTGGGTGGTTGCTTGGTCACTTACCCGGCTTTGGAATATACGTCACTTTAGCCACCCTCCATGCCTGAGGGATGTAACTCCACACATAGCTGGCATGAAAAATTTCCAACAGTGCTCTGGCAATATGTTGGAAACCCCTCTGCAAAAATGCAGGATATATCCCGTCATCACCTGGAGATTTGAAGGGCCTAAAAAAGAAAACAGCCCATCTAATCCTGCCCATCGTGAAGACCAGACGAAATCGTTGCCAGTCATCCCTCCTGGGCCAGGATGCCCTCGGTTCATTGACCGCATTTGAGTGATTCCGAAGAATGTCCGAGTCAGGAAAGTGCGTTGACGCCATAAGCTCCAACGTCTGCTTTCCGTTCTCAGTTATGGAGCCCTCAGGCCGTTCCATTAGGACCAACTCGCTAGCATAGTTTTTGGAAAGCACCTTGGAAGACGTGCACTGCTAGAGAGTTCATCAATGCCCCTGCAGAACGCCGTCCACGAAATTCTCTTCGCTTTCCTAATTTCTTTATTGTATTTCGTGAGTGAGTTTTTATACTCTTCCCACGAACCCGACGCCTTGGCCTTATTGAATAGTTTTCTGATCTTTAGTCTAAGCCTTGAAAGCTCTTCATTCCACCATGGGCACTTCCTATTGCTCCGCCTCGGCTTAGCGAGGAAGCTCCCATGGTAGGCACTAGTAATAGCCGCCGTCAGAGCCTCGCTGGCCTGCTCGATATCCAACACCGTTCTGACAGAAGCAGGAATGGATCCAATTCCATCCATGAGGAGTATTTCGAATTGACTTCAATCTGTGGATTGGGGTACCCGATACATTTCTTCTGCCAGGCCCCCGGAGACCATGATATCAAACCTAATCTGCCTATGATGCCATCCCCTAACCCTACTGCCGATAAACTCAGTGCAAAGGGTGATGTCAAGGACCTCTTCCCTAATTGTATTTATGAATGTCGGCCTA